CCCAAAACCACACACACACACACACACACACACACACAACACACACACACGGCGCCCGCGCGCGCGCGCGCGCACACACGCACACGTATCCGCCACACACGCGCCACACAACACAGGATCCAGATACACGACACACACACACGTACACGTACACACACGACAACACGTACTCGCGGGCGCACACACACACACACACAGCACACACACACAACACACACAAACTCACAAAACACACACACACACACGCCGCGCGCGCACACACGGGAGAGGATGGGTGGCGCTGGAGGCGAAGAGGGCAGGGGAGGGGGAAGGGTGGCGCGGGAGGTGGGAGGGCAGGGGAGAGGAAGCTACTGGGTGTGGGTGGCGCGGTAGGTGGGGAGGGCAGGGGAGGGGGAAGCCATTGGGTGGCGCGGGAGGTGGGGAGGGCAGGGGAGGGGGAAGCTATTGGGTGGCGCGGAAGGTGGGGAGGGCAGGGGAGAAGGAAGCTGTACGTAAAAGTTTGCATTCCGATGTAAAACATCAATAGCCGTCTCCGGTGTCTGTTTTTAATCGCAGCGAACACCGTGTTTGCTGCCGGAGGCAGCAGAACACATCGCTGTCCGACATGATGTAGTGCACGCGCGCGTGCGTGCGTGCGTGCGTGCGTGCGTGCGTGCGTGCGTGCGTGCGTGCGCATATTTCTCGTGCGTTCATACAATTTATATGCGTGCGTACGTGCGCATATTCTATGTGTGTGTATGCGTCTCATATACGCGTGGGTGCGTACCCGCGTATTTTCCGAGTGCGTGCATGTATACGTTTCATACGCGCACGTGAGTGCGTGCGTATATTCCTGGCGCGCGTGTATACATTTCCTATGCCTGCGTGCATGAATGCGTGCGTATATTACCTGTGCGTGCATACATTTCATATGCGTGCGTGAATGCGCGCATACATTCCCTGTGCGTGCATACATTTCATATGTGTGCGTGAATGCGCGCATACATTCCCTGTGCGTGCATACATTTCATATGCGTGCGTGAATGCGCGCATACATTACCTGTGCGTGCATACATTTCAGATAGGTGCGTGCAGGCGTGGATGGGAAGAGCCACAGCGCGTACAAACACATCCACTGCGAGCATGTAGGCGTTCGCACACGCTAAAGTCTAAAAAAAGATGATTGGCATTTATGAAACCGAACTTGAAGAGCAAACATGAGCATGAACCATAGCCCTACGTACGTCAACATTCAACCTCGCCATTTAGTTAATGAACAGAAAATGTGTTTCGATCTGTGTGTGTCCGCGCGTGTGCGTGTGCGTGCGCGTGTGCGCGCGCGCGCGTGTGTGTGTGGTGTGTGTGTGTGTGTTGTGTTGTGTGTGTGTGTGTGTGTGTGTGTGTGTGTGTGTGCGTGCGTCATGTGTGTCTGTGTACCGCGTGTGTTCGTGTGTGTGTGTGTCGTGCTGCGGCGTGTGTGTGTGTGTGGTTTGTTGTGTGTGCGTGTGTGTGTGTGTGGTGTGTGTGTGCGTGTGTGTGCGTGTCGTGTGCGTGCGTGTGTGCATGTGTGTGCGTGTGTGGGTGTGAGTGTGTCCGTGTGTCAGTGTGGTGTGTGTTGTGTGTGTGCGTGTGTGTGTGTGCGTGTGTGTGCGTGTGCGTGTGCGTGTGTGTGGTGTGTGTGTGTGTGGTGTGTGCGTGTGTGTGTACAGATCCCACATATACGATGCGAACAAAAAACGCCGCTGTTTGCGCAGAAGCGTGGAGGGTTTCAGGTATTATTAGCCACGCACAAACATTTGCCAACGATTACGCAAGCAATAGCGCGAGGTCGCTGCGGACAGCTATGAGTGCATGTTAGCGTGGTTTCCGTGCGTGCGTGCGTGCGTGCGTGCGTGCGTGCGTGCGTGCGTGCGTGCGTGCATGCATTCGTGTTGGTGTGTTAAAGGTCGGATGCATGCTTAGTGAAGATATGCGCCGACTGAAGTCGAAAATGCACCTTCATATTCGTTCATATTCGAGATTATGTCTTACGGTGTGCAACTGTCGTGCTGCTTCTATAACGAGAAGTTATTCAGTATACGAGGTTCACAACTGTCGCTTATGCGAGTAGAAGTTAGCCAGCTATCGCTAACGGTAGTTATCGTTGTATATGGATTGATATTGGCACGTAAGCCCGGGGACAAATTGTGTTTCGCGGTATGCTTATTGCTTCACAGATGTGACATATGACCCGGAAAAAGCCGAGCGGTGTGTGAATACGTATCGAATGAATTCGAAACAAATTGTTACAAATTTGTAAAACTTTCAAGGCGAAAAACTCTCAGGCGAACTCCCGCTTATAACTTGTCCACACCTGCACTCTGAACACTGCAACACTGCAACACTGCAACAACTGCAACACTGCAACACTGCAACACTGCAACACTGCAACACTGCATCACTGCAACACTGCAACACTGCATCACTGCAACACTGCAACACTGCAACACTGCAAACACTGTAGCACCGCAACACTGTAAACACGCAAAACACGCAAACTGTAACACGGCAAACACTGTAACACTGTACGCTGCAACAACTGGCAATACTGCAACACTGCAACATTGTAAGCGCACGCTTTCCCCTGTAAACTCCACACGCGCGCTGGCAGATATTGCGCCCGCAATGTCGCAACAAGCGTGCTCGATTGCAAGTTTTTTAGTCGCAACTTACGCGACGTGCCCGCATAAAAAAAAGAGACGGCGTTTGATTAAATTTAATGACCCAGTTTCGCATCGACCGCTGTCGATGTGTTTAGCCGATTACGTATCGGCACCGGAAGTGACGTGAGAGCCGCCAGGAGTCCTTATGCTTATGCTGTGGTGCTTCTAAAGGTTCGGCTGCTCGAAATGACAAGATTAAGACAGGCGCATCACACCAATCAGGGCTCAACGGCAGCTATTTCTATCCGCAACACGTGTTATTGGTTTCTAACTAGGTGTACGTAACACTCGGCTACATTTAAACACGACGGCGCGTAGAGCCTTAATAGGCTCATTCAAAGTAGCATTTCCCTTCCCTCTCACATTCAACCACACCGCTTTGCCTGTAAACTATTAGGCTTGTAGTTATAACAACACCAGCGCACATAAGTATATGACCATCTGAGTGTGGTATCGTTAAACTCCTGGTCTGAGCAAACCAGCGAAGTGTTATGTGTTCGAGTGAGGAGAGCGCGCCAACATCTCTCGAACAACATCCTAAAATACGAAACATAACCGTTCAGTTGCTCCCACCCCATCATCACGCTAGACTTTATGTGCCACGAGAAAGAGCACGCTCCAGCTCGAGGCGTTTCGGTCCGATCGAAGTGGAATTCTTATCAGCCAATTTCGGATGCGAACACCATAGCGTAAAAGAAAGCCAGATGCATCTCTAGTAATCACCAAATTGAAGTGTACAATCGCAAGTCCATTTATATACGTAATCCTAATAGCAATATAACAGCAGCAATGTCCAATATAATACGTAATCTAATAGCAATATAATGGCAGCAATGTTCCATATCGGCGGCGTATAC